TTTAATCATTTTGAGTTGATTTTTGTGTATGGTGTGAGGTGGTGGTCAAGCTTCATTCTTTTGCATGTAGCGACCCAGTTTTCCCAGCACCATTTATTGAACAAACTTTCTTTGCTCCAATGCATATTTTGCTCCTTTGTCAAAGATTAGTTGACCATAAATCTGTGGGTTTATTCTGGATTTTCTATTCGATTCCATGGTCTGTATGTCTGTTCTTGTTCCAATACCATGCAGTTTTGATGATTATGGCTTGTAGTATAGTTTGAAGTCTGGGAGTCTGATGCCTCCATTCCTTCTTTTTTTTTCAGGAGAGCTTTGGCTATTCGGGGTTTTTTGTGATTCCATATGAATTTCATCAATAATTGTTCTATTTCTTTGAAGAATGCATTGAAATTTTGATTGGAATAGCATTGAATCTGTATATGCTTTTGGAAGGATGGCCATTTTAATAATGTTTATTCTCCAATCCATGAGCAGGGGATGTCTCTCCATTTCTTTGTGTCTTCTTCTATTTCTTTTAACAGTTTTTATAGTTTTCTTTGTATAGGTCCTTTACCTCTTTTGTTAGATTTATTCCCAAATATTGATTTTTTTTGTTTCAATAACAAAAGGGATGGTCTTTTGATTTCTTCTTCTTCAGATTTATTGTTTATGTATAGGAAGGCTACTGACTTTTGCGTGTTGATTTGTATCCTGCCACTTTACTGAACTGATTGATGAGTTGAATTAGCTTTCTGTGGAGTTTTTTGGGGTTCTCTATGTATAATATCATATCGTCTGCAAATAGTGATAGTTTGACTTCTTCTTTTCCTATTTGGATTCCTTGGATGTCTTTCTCTTGTCTTATAAGGCATGTATGCTTTTTAAACCATTAAATTTTGAATTAGTTTTTCTTACCACAATTTTAGATCGTGATCTCAAAATTTAGGATTTTTTTTATAGGCGCCATTTATAACTAATCCTCCGGAGGCAAAAAGCAAGAACAAAGAGATCTCTTGATTTCCATTTAAAATTTTGGCCATGTGCATTAATTTTAAGAAACAGTTATTTTTACCAATATTTGCAAAGACACTGAGAAACTACAGTTTAGTAAACTCCCCTTCTTTAGTAACAATTTTTTTGTTTGACACATTCATTTAACCAAGTTTTTAATATCCTTTTTATATCAAGCAGGTTTTTATTGACATAGAAGTTAGAATCCTTACATAGAACAAGTACCCAATTTTAACACTTACTTAAAACCTAGGGTCCAACCAAAACCACAACAATTTTAAAGTCAAGCAGTTTGTATTAAATTCTTAGATAAGAAAAACATTTTGAGTTTGTATTTTTAAGTATTATCAATTGGCTTTTACATTGTTTTAGCTTTGTCACACTGAGACCAAGCACATTTTTAAGACAAAAGACATTTTTTCTTTTTAGAACCATGTATAGGGAGGACAGGAGAAGAAGAATAAGATCTTTCTTTACAGTTTGCCTGTTTTCAAACTCTTATCAGAAATTAATTAGTCTTAATAAGAAACTAAACTTTTACAGGTCCAATAAGCAGTTTAGAAGTTGTCACTTAACCAAAAATCACCTTTATAGCTCGTTAGCAAGTCCAAAGTAACTCAGAAGTTTTTTACCTTTAACATTTTAGACTTTAAAATCAGAAAAACACAGGGACATAGAACTTTTTCCCTAGCATGAACCAAAACAGGTTTTCAAGGTGGACAAAGGGAGAGTCTAGTTCCCCAAAACTGGAAGGCAGCAGAGACATACCAATAATCTCAACACTGGAAAAAATAATCCAGGCAGCTGCTTATTGAGAGCAAAGGCAGTCTTTTTACCAGCCAGCTGTAATGGTCCCCTTTAATTATTAATCCCCAGCATTTTGTCTTTTTGTCTTGACTATGACCAAGAAGGGTTAGCTGGAGAAGATGCCATTTTGGCTAGTTTTGGCCCAATTGGGCTAGTTTTTTTTAAGAATGTGGCTTAAGGGCATGTCCCATGGAATTGAGAGAGAGCATTTTATGGTCTCTGTAGCAATAAAAGAAAGGTACCCGCAATAGCAGCGCAGAGACAAAGCAGGGACATTCCTGCAGTTAAGTCAGAGGTCGTCCCATCTGATCAGGACCATATATCATGGTCTCTTGGCTCTCAACTCTAGGATGCAGGAGACTTGGGTCTCAGTGACTGACTAAGAGAAGCAACAGGTGAGATAGGAGACAATTACTCCTGAAATTTGTCTCAACTCTAGGATGCAGGAGAGATGCGTGCCCCTCTTGCATGGCTGACAAGGAGGCTCCCATCTGCAAAAAGGAATGAAAGCGGGTGTCCAACACCTGCTTCTTTCCCCAAGGGCGGGAGAAAACCTATAATAGGCCAAATTAAAACCTATAGACAGGTCAAATTATGGATTGGGGTCACATTGAACCCAATTTTTTTTTAATCCACTTCTCCCATCCTTTACCGGAGGCGTCCCTCCATTTAAATTTGGAGCTCTAACTCTGAGTGATTAACAGTCTCCTCACACAGGGTCTACTGGACTTAATCACTCCCTTACCAGCGTGACCAATTTGATCTTGCACTGTCTGTCTCCCACCGAACAGACAGGCGTGGAGTGCCCGGGCTTTATGGGATCCTACCGGCGTCCCCTTTCCAGTCCTTGTACAAAAGGGTTTACATTCTACTCTCCTCGTACCCTGAACACACCTGAACAGTAGAGACTCAACACAAGCCACAGACCGAGTCCTGCGACCTAACTTTTAATGGTGTCCATTTGCCAGACAACAAAACTGATTTTTTTTTCTTAAGTCATAGCCCTTGAAGCGGCAGTAGCCCAGAACCTGATATTTACTTGTCTTAAACTCCCTTTTGGAAAACTGCCATGAGACAAATTATAATACCAAAGGTATAATTAATTAGCTGGACCTAGGATTTGAGGCAAACCTGTACATACATTCCTGTCATAATATGAAACTCAGCCTCTCCTGCCTGTGCCAACCGGCAGGATTAAAACAGACACCAGGGAAAAGGCTCCCAGGGGTGCCCCAAGATTTTTATAAGACCATTTTGTATCTTATGTTTATAAGCTGCCTTGATAGAAGCTGAAAGAAGTCCGTCCTATAGATAGGGGAGGGATTAAGAAGGTGGAAGTCCTTTTTTTTTTTTTTTTTACTGTTTGGCCTCCGTGACTCTCGCCTGGGTGCCGACCTAGCAGAACGCCTTGTCTGAGTCATCGGATCTCCTGGATGTCCAGGGTTCCCAGGGTTACAGCTTGGTCGTTCTGAGCACCCTCGGAGTCCACGGATGATAGAGGAAAGTAGGAATCAGTGACAAGAGAGTCCCGACATTCCCACTCAGCAAGTGGGGGATCAGGAAGACTTGCCAGCTGAGAAACCTGTCACCCGAGACTTTAAGAATGGCGGCCTCACGCTAGTCGCTTTTACTGGGCCGACGGGTGCCCATTAATTTTTTGCAATCAAATAAAGGACAGAGAAAAAGTTTGTGAAATGTCTACTGCTTGTCTGAAGCCCACAGGTAACAGAGAAGTAAAATCAGTTGCATTGCAAGAGAAGGAAGAATAGAGAGGAGAGAGAGAGAGAGAGAGAGAGAGAGAGAGAGAGCGCCAGAGCAAGGAAAGATATGGAGCCATCCAAATAATCCTAACAGGGATCTGAGACCAGGATGGGGTTCTGTGTCAGATCCTGTGTGGTGCTTAGTGAGGAATGACTTTCCCAACTGTCACATTGGGACCATTCATCCTCTACTGGGTCTCGGCAGCTCCCCCTCTGCTGAAGGCAAGGGAGGATGGCCCGAGCTGCTGGAGACCAGCCCCTTATGTGCAGCTCCCGGACGGCCTCTACATGACGTATGTGCCTAGATCTTCGGAGACCGGAGTCCCTCATACGACGACACCAGACTTTTATTCTTTGACTGGCAGATGGGCTAGTCCCCTTACCTGGTCTGGTCACCAGTTTATCCTTCCACAGGAGATTTTAAGGCAGTCGCCCTTTGGCATTTACTGACTGTCCTGTGCCCTTTTTATGGCCTCTTTGATGGCTCCGAGAGAAAGAAAATGTTTAGCAAGAGAAGTTTAGGACAAGCTGAAGATAGAAACAATTTGTGCCTCTCGGCTGACTTACCCAAAATCTTGTGAGATCCCGGACGAGCCCCCAAAATGATACCGGAATTATCAGGCCTAGTCTCCCAGCCAGGAACAGATCCCAGGCTGCAGGGCAGCGCTGAGTCCCAGCCACTAGACCCCCAGGGTTGGTGTCTCTCGAAGCCGCAGCAGGAACTTTGCAGACGCTCAGGCAAGCAAGTGAGAAGAGGCAGGTTTGTTTAGAGAAAGAAAAAGTTTATTGAGGAGAAAAAGAACAGAAATAAAGTGGGACTCCCAGGCCAGGGAACCAGGCCTGGGAGGGGCAAGGAAGCCAAAGTGGAGTTGTGTCCCAGGGAATATAGACCTTCTTTCCCTCATTATTCTAAAGCTCCACCAGTCTCTTTGTGATTGGTTAGTTCTCGGCTGTCTCACTTAATTTGCTACTGAGTGGGGGATCTTCACATTCCTTATCTAACAGGTCTGTCTTTCCCCATTTGTTGCATCTTTATCTTTATGGCCCAGTCCTCTGGATGGACATCCCTGCATTGAAGTTAAACAGCTGCCCTTCTGAGTTGTCCATAAATTAAACCACTCTCCATTTCCCCAATCTCCGCCTCCCTTTACCACCTGAAGGAAACCAGGACCAGCTTTAACAATGTTGTCCTTGGTCCTGAGATGTTTTTTTTCCTAGTGGAATTGGTTACATTCCCTTGGTTGTCCTTATCTCTGAAGCCTCCCTAAATTCTTCAGAGGTCCCCTCCTGCACTGTCCCTGAAACTGCCTAATAACCCTAGCTTGCCCTGTGTCTCACTCCCGAATGTGTGAAGGCCAAGGTCTTGGCATACACGCCAGGGGAACTTACACTAAACGCCAGGGGACCTCGGTTTTCCATCCAGTTTCCATCTCCTCAAAGGTAAATCCAGGATGTGGAGAAGAGCTGTGCATCTCCCGAGGAGGCCTTGGGAAGTTCCCTAGAGAAAAAAGAACTCCGGCAGCTGCTGGAACTCTCCCTCATCCTCCTGGAGAAAGGGCACTCCCTCCAGCAGGAGGGTCAGGATGCCACCCGGGATGCCAAGGCCCCTCTCCGACAGCACAGACCAGCATAGACAGGTAAGCTGCTGCGGCCAACTGCTCCGTCCATTGGAAGTCAGAGTTGGGGTTGGGAGAGCCGAAGTGGCATGCACCCCCAGGCTGGCTCGCCAAATTGTTACCAAACGCTGGCCTCAGTTTCCCTTAGCCAATAAAAGGAAACCGAGTTTGAGGAAAAGGAAAGCGTTTTTATTTGTTGACAAATGAGGAGGACAGCAGACTCATGTCCGAAAGCCCACCGTCCTGCTCTCTGGCCATGGGCAGGGGTATTTACACAGGGGGAGATGGGCAGGGGTCTGCGAAGGGGAGGGGGAAGGGTCTGCACAGAGACATGTGAGCGCCTGTTCCACACGGAGATGGATGGGTGCCAGCTGGTTTTCATTAAGGAGAGGGGGAAAGTGTCAGCACAGAGACCCATGGGTATCAACGCATCCATCTTAAGGGAAGGGGAAGGTGTCAAGGCACAGAGAAGGGTGATCACCAGCTTGTTTTCCTTAGGGGGAGGGGGAAGGGTCTGCTCGAAACCAGTGGGCAACAGCTTGGTTTCTTCTCAAGGGGAGGGGAGGCCGCAACCAGTGGGAAAGACAAGCTATTCATCCTGTTAATGCTAGATAAGGGGAATTGCAAGAAATGGGAAAAGACAAACTTGTTAACTGTATTAGGCACTGCCCAGGGAGTTGGAAGGGAGAGGGGGAGGAGGAGGAGATCAGAATGGCTGTGGGGCTTTGGAGGCTTAGAGAGTTTGGAGCCTGAGGGATTCAGCTTTGGAAGTGGCTTCCCAGACGCCCAGGAGGCAGAGATCTGCATTGTTCCCGCACTTCTAGTCTCTGGTGACTTTGCCTGAGACCCTGGTGCAGGCCAGGAGGGTGTGTAGGGAGAAAAGGAGAGGAGGAGGGAGAAGGAGAGGCTCCTTGGAGTCTCCTCAGGAGCTGGGGGAGGCCTTGCTCTGTGGAGGGAGCAGGGGCAGTGATCCGGGGGCTGCTGGGGTTGTTAGGGGGAAAGGATGTCCTGAGCTAATCCCATGCAGGCTTTGTGGACCCCACCCCCACTCCAGACCAAAGCCATCAAGACATTGGGAAAGACAAATCCCGTCACCACCAAAGGAAGGTGGCTGGGACCTGAGGGTGGAGTTAAGCAGCCAGGGTTGGTATAAAAACCAGACACGTGGGCCTTGGGGTTTCTCGCTCTCTTGCTGGCCTCCTGGGTTCATGGCTCCTGGCTCGCGGCCAGCTCTCAGAGTGCCATTTTGGGATTCCAGGTCGGTGGATCGGGTAGGACTCATTTAAAACTTTATCTCCCACTTTTCTCCCTGAGTTGTACATTTCCTCATTTGCCCTTCCTTGTAAATAAGCCTTTTATTAACCTTTCGCGTGTGCCTGCAGTAGAGCATTGATAAGTCTTTTTAAGCGTGGGTGAGGACCACAGTCAGGCACCCCGTTTTGTATCGTTTTGGGTCACTCTCAGCTGCTCAGAAACGGTTCCTGGGACTTCTGAACGCTAAATCTTAGGCTTTTGTAGCTTTGGCCTACCTCCTGCCCCTCAGACATTTTGACCTAGGGGCTGCATATTGGCTTCCTCCCTTCTTTTCTTCTTCTTTTTTTTTTTTTCTTGCTTGTAGGGAAGTCAGCTGAGCAGGAGGGTGGCAGGGGCTAAATTACTGGGAAACAATCCAGATGAGCCCAAGTGGGAGGGCTGTAGGTGGGGTCTAGGCAGCTGCTGGCTCCTGCCTCCCCTGTGCCTCCTCAGGTTTGTAATCTGCTGCTGACTACCTTGGCTGCTCACTCCTTTCAGGCACTGCAGGTTTGTGCCTCAGAATGGGCCCGTGCACAGTTCTGCTTCTGACTGTCCTGTCCTTTCCCTAGCCCTGGGCCCTGGTGAGTGGGCTTCATTGGACCTGGTGGGCAGGAGCCTGGGCCTTTCCTGGGGTCTGGGAGGGGTCCCCTGGGTTTGTGAGGACCCTGTCAGGAGGGGTGTGGCCTGTGGGGGGTTCATTTTTTTTAGATTTATTTTTATTTATTTATGTGTACAAGAACTGGGGTGTAGGCCAGAGATGCGGGGGGTGAGAGGATTCACCAGAGACAGTGGAGCAGAAGAGGCCGACTGAAATACACTCCCGAGGGGAGCAGGGTGAGACAGGAGAGCCATGTGGGTAGCTCCTGGCAGCGACCAGGATTGAACTCTTGCTGGCAATAGCTTGAAAGTGCATACTTTAACCCCTGTGCCACATTTTGCCTTTGCCCAAATAAAGTCCTGGGAAACTTGACTGGGGCCAGAAGGGAGGGGAAAGTGGAGCACCCATTTTCAACAAAAGGCAATGAATGCTCTTGGACACTGATAGTCCAGTGATTCTTGTTACCCCTTTCCTTCCCTCCCTCCATAACAACCTCCCCTTCCCACATCCCTGCGTGTTTTCTAGGAGAGTCCAGGGGCAGACACATGGGGGGAGGGGGGGAAGACAGGGCTTCCAGTTCAGGTCAGTGAATTACTCTGGAAGGGGCAGTGGAGGAAAAGGGGCTTAACACAGCCTGTGGGGCCTTCCCTCAGAGAGCCCCTGGGCCAGGACTCAGGGAGACTCGTGACAAAGAGCTGTCCTGGCTGCAGGGCAGTGTTCAGGGCAAAGCCCTGGGTTGCCAGGGGGACTCTCAGGGTGGCCGGGACATGGAGACTGAGTGTTGTGGGGAGACCATCTTCTTGGGAAGTCTCACTTTTCATTCTTACAGTCTTTGAAAGGTCCTTCTGCCTGGACGCTGATTACAACACCCCAGTTCTCATTCCCATTTACTGTACATTTCCAGAGCCACACCTAGATCCCAGGGCCTCACAGGGGGTTCTTGTTTACAAACTTACACGAAGAGAAGTTTCCCAGCAATGGGGCCCCAAAGCCTCCTCCTGTTGCCCTGGTGGATCCTTGTCCTGCCCAACACTTCGGAGGGTGAGTGTGAAATGGGAGAAAACCTGTCTCTGGGGGGGGAAAGCAAGAGGACCACCTGGGTGCTTCCACCCCCAATCGCGGTCCAAGCCCTTGCCCCTTCCACATCCTGCCCCCACCCCCAATCCATCCCCCCATTTTTCTTTCAACCTTATGACCTTCCGGGATCTTTTCTTGACACCCCTTTCATGACTCAGCAGACTCCTCCCGGGGGTCCTGTCCCATCACCTAAGACTCTGGTACCGCTGCACTGGCGGAGGGTCAGCCCGGGTCTCCCTCCCGCCCCCAGGCTCCCACTCCCTGAGGTATTTCTCCACCGCGATGTCCCAGCCTGGCCCCGGGGAGCCCCGCTTCATCGCCGTGGGCTCCGTGGACGACACAGAGTTTGTGCGGTTCGACAGCGACTCTCCGGCCCTAAGGGAGGAGCCGCGGGCACCCTGGGCGGTGCATTTGGGTCCGGAGTACCACGACAGGAACACAGGGACCTACAAGGCCACCGCGCGGGCTCTCGGCGAGGGTCTGGACACCCTGCGCGGCTACTACAACCAGAGCGCGGCGGGTGAGCTCCGCGGGCCGGGCCGGGTCCAGTTGTCCGGTCCCCGAAGGGGCCCTGAGTCCCCGGGTCTCAGCGTCTCCCCAAGGCCACCCACAGTCCCCGCCAGCGAGGAAGTCACGTGGGGACCAGCCCTGGTTTTCCATCCAGCTGAGGAGGGTGTTGGCTGAGGCCTGCGGGGCTCTCCTGGGAGGGGCGGGGCGCGACTGACGCGGCGGGGACAGGCTCTCACACCCTCCAGGGGATGTCTGGCTGCGACGACGTGGGGCCCGGCGGGCGCCTCCTCCGCGGGTACAGTCAGGTCGCCTACGACGGCGCCGATTACCTGGCCCTGAACCGGGACCTGCGCTCCTGGACCGCGGCGGACACGGCCGCTCAGATCACCCGGCGCAAGTGGGAGGCGGCTGGAGACACGGAGCGCCAGAGGGACTACCTGGAGGACTCGTGCGTGGAGTCCCTACGCAGATACCTGGAGAGTGGCAAGGAGACACTGCAGTGCTTAGGTATGAATATATGTATCTATGTGTTGGGTAGTGTTAAAATTGGGCCCAGAGGCCCCACCTTCCTCTCTAGACACGGAAGGGACCCAGTCTCTGGATGGAGGGAGAAGCCATCCCTGAAATAATTCATCCCTGCTTCCTTTTGCGTCTGGCAGCAGCCCCGGGAGCCCTGGGGAACTTTCTCTCTTAGGCCTTGTTCTCTGCCCCATGTTTTGGGGCCTGAATCCAGCTTTTCTGCATCACTGGCCTCATGCTAGGTCAGGACCAGAAATCCCTTGTCTCCGCCTCAGAGACCTGGTCTGCTGGCCTGGACTGTCTCATTCTAATTCTAGAAATTTCCAAATAATAGGAATTATTCCTGATACCTGTATCCAGGCTGGATCTGGGTTTGTGCTCCCTTCCCTCATCCCCCTTCCCTGTCCATTCTTATGAGTGCTACTTCAGTGACTCAAAGTTCCTACATTTCTGAACCTTCTCCTCAGACGCCCCAAAAACATACGTGACCCACCACCCCACCTCTGACCATGAGGTCACCCTGAGGTGCTGGGCCCTGGGCTTCTACCCTGCGGACATCACCCTGACCTGGCAGCGAGATGGGGAGGACCTGACCCACGACATGGAGCTGGTGGAGACCAGGCCTGGGGGGGACGGAAGCTTCCAGAAGTGGGTGGCTGTGGTGGTGCCTTCTGGAGCGGAGCAGAGATACACGTGCCATGTGCAGCATGAGGGCCTGCTGGAGTCCCTCATCCTGAGATGGGGTGAGGAGGGGGATGTGGGCACAATCTCTGTCCAGGGGCATCAGGAGCCCTTCTGGAGACCTTCAGAGGGTCAGGATGAGGCCTGGGGCTCAGGGTCTCCCCTTACCTTCCAGTGCCCCCTCCTCAGTCCTCCATCCCCACGGGGGGCATCACTGCTGGCCTGGTTCTTGGAGTTGTGCTCACTGGAGCTGCGGTGGCTGCAGCTGTGATGTGGAGAAAGAAGTGCCCAGGTAGGGCAGGGAGTGGGGAGATGAGTTTTCTTGTCCCAGTGTGGGGTTTCATGCCCAGATAGTAGCTTGTCTTTCGTGGTCAATGGCAAGTACTGTCCACACATACATGCTTGCCCAGTCTAGGGCTCTATTTGCTAATACTTGCTCCTCATTAAAGCAAAAGGGGAAATGGAGGACAAATTTATTAATTGGTGAATCTGGTGATGGGGACCTTTTTCTCAGGAGTCACAGGACAGAGGATCCCCCCTGAGGGCAGACTCCAAAAAGGGCGTTGGCCCAGTCCTTCTACATGTACTTTCCTTATGTTTCCCATTCCTGCCTGGGTCTGTAGTCACAGTTTAGGAAACTTCCTTGGATTCTGGGGGGAAGTAGTTCCTTTAGAGTCTTATCACTCAGTCTTGTCCCTGAGTTTCACAAGATGTCTTCTTCTCACAGGGGGAGAAAGAGGAAGCTATACTCAGGTTGCAGGTAAATATAGAAGGGAGAAGATCCATTCCTAAGGCCCTTGGCATTGCATAGATGGGAGCCCATAAGGGGGCGTCACTGATCTCTCACCAGATGTCTTCTTCCCACAGGTGGAGAAGGAGAGAGTCATACCAGGATGCAGGTAAATAGGGAAGGGAGAAGATCCATCCCTAAGGCCCTTGGGATAGTATAGATGGGACCCCATAAGGGGAGAGGAGGAGCTAACCTCTCACAAGATGTCTTCTTCCCACAGGTGGAGGAGGAGGGAGTTATACCAGGCTGCTGGTAAATAGGGAAGGGAGAAGATCCATCCCTAAGGCCTTTGGGATAGTATAGATGGAAATCTATAAGGGTAAGTTACTCACCTCTCACAAGATGTTTTCTTCCCACAGGGGGAGGAGGGAGCGATACCAGGCTTCAGGTAAATATAGAAGGGAGAAAATCCATCCCTAAGGCCCTTGGGGAGGTTTAGATGGAAACCCAGAAGGGGAAGTCGCTGACCTCTCAGAGGATGTTTTCTTCCCACAGGTGGAGAAGGGAGGACCTATACCAGGCTGCAGGTAAATATGGAGGGGAGAAGATCCATCCCAAGACCCTTGGGATAGTATAGATAGGAACCCATAAAGGGAAGTTAAGGACCTCTCACAAGATATTTTCTTCCCACAGGGGGAAAAGGAGGAAGCTCTACTCAGTCAGCAGGTAAATATGGAAGGGAGAAGATCCATCTCTAAGGCCCTTGGGATAGTATGGATGGAAACCCATGAGGGAAGTCAAGGACCTCTCACAAGATGTTTTCTTCCCACAGTGGGAAAAGGAGGGAGCTCTACCAGGCTGCAGGTAAATATGGAAGGGAGAAGATCCATCCCTAAGGCCTTTGGGATAGTATAGATGGAAATCTATAAGGGTAAGTTACTCACCTCTCACAAGATGTTTTCTTCCCACAGCGGGAGGAGGGAGCGATACCAGGCTGCAGGTAAATATAGAAGGGAGAAATCCATCCCTAATGCCCTTGGGGAAGTTTAGATGGAAACCCATAAGCGGAAGTCGCTGACCTCTCAGAGGATGTTTTCTTCCCACAGGTGGAGAAGGGAGGATCTATACCAGGCTGCAGGTAAATATGGAAGGGAGAAGATCCATCCCAAGGCCTTGGGATAGTATAGATGGGAACCCATGAAGGGAAGTTAAGGACCTCTCACAAGATGTTTTCTTCCCACAGTGGGAAAAGAAGGAAGCTCTACTCAGTCAGCAGGTAAATATGGAAGGGAGAAGATCCATCTCTAAGGCCCTTGGGATAGTATGGATGGAAACCCATGAGGGAAGTCAAGGACCTCTCACAAGATGTTTTCTTCCCACAGTGGGAAAAGGAGGGAGCTCTACCAGGCTGCAGGTAAATATGGAAGGGAGAAGATCCATCCCTAAGGCCCTGAGGATAGTATAGATGGAAATCTATAAGGGTAAGTTACTCACCTCTCACAAGATGTTTTCTTCCCACAGGGGGAGGAGGGAGCGATACCAGGCTTCAGGTAAATATAGAAGGGAGAAAATCCATCCCTAAGGCCCTTGGGGAGGTTTAGATGGAAACCCAGAAGGGGAAGTCGCTGACCTCTCAGAGGATGTTTTCTTCCCACAGGTGGAGAAGGGAGGACCTATACCAGGCTGCAGGTAAATATGGAGGGGAGAAGATCCATCCCAAGACCCTTGGGATAGTATAGATAGGAACCCATAAAGGGAAGTTAAGGACCTCTCACAAGATATTTTCTTCCCACAGGGGGAAAAGGAGGAAGCTCTACTCAGTCAGCAGGTAAATATGGAAGGGAGAAGATCCATCCCTAAGACCCTTGTAATACTATACTGGGAACCCATAAGGGGTGGTCACTGACCTCTCACAAGATGTCTTCTTCCCAAAGGTGGAGAAGGAGGGAGTCATACCAGGCTAGGTAAATATGGAAAGGCGATGATCCTTCCCTAAGGCCCTGGGGATAGTTTAGATGGGATCCCATAAAGGGAAGTCACTGACCTCTCACAAGATGTTTTCTTCCCACAGGTGGAGAAAGAGGAAGCTATGCCAGGTTGCAGGTAAATATGGAAGGGAGAAGATCCATCCCTAAGGCCTTTGGGAAAGTATAGATGGAAATCTATAAGGGTAAGTTACTCACCTCTCACAAGATGTTTTCTTCCCACAGGGGGAGGAGGGAGCGATACCAGGCTGCAGGTAAATATAGAAGGGAGAAAATCCATCCCTAATGCCCTTGGGGAAGTTTAGATGGAAACCCATAAGGGGAAGTCGCTGACCTCTCAGAGGATGTTTTCTTCCCACAGATGGAGAAGGAGGGCGCTATACCAGGCTGCAGGTAAATAAGGAAGGGAGAAGATCCATCCCAAGGCCCTTGGGATAGCACAGATAGAACCCATAAGGTGTTCACATACCCAATTCCTCTCCTTTCATCTCTCATGCCTCTGACTTTGTTCTGTTTTGTTCTCCCCCAGGCAGAGATGTGCCCAGGCTGTGATGTGACTCTCATATGCCCTAATGGTAACATCCCTGGAGACCTGTGGCAGGAGGAGCTGGGGCAGCTATGACAGTACTTGGTTGTGGGGATGCTTTGAGAGGGACATTTTGAGCATGTGGTGGGCTGTTCAGAATGTCACCATTTATGTGACTAATTTGAATTTGTTTATGATTATTTATTTTCACAGTGTGAAACAGCTGCCTTGTGCGGACTAAGTGATGAAACATTTATTATGTCCTGCTCTATGACTTCCAAGATCATATGTGTTCACTTTTTTGCAAAGAGCACGTGGAAGCAGGAAGTTTCCCAAGCCTGCTGCCTGGGGGAAGCTACTACTTGATTCTGCTGCTTGCTGAAACTGAGAAGTTCCTGGGTGTACTGTACTACTCGTCCGTGGTGGTAGCCATGACTACCTTGAACCCCTTCCAAATAAAGAATGCTTGTGCTATGACGGACGGGATGGCAAGTTTCCTCACACAAACTGCCGTTTTTATTCTTGTGCGCTCAGCATTTTGGGGAGCGATCCCACTGAGTCTGCCAGTGTGGCAATTAAATGTCTCTCTCTCCACCTCTCTGAGTGCCTCTGATTTCTCTGGGAAATTGCTGTAACACTTGACTGTGTCTGTTTTCATATTGTCTAATGTGAGGAGGTGGGAAGACTGGCCCAGCCCTGCCTTCCTAGACCCTTCACACCTCTGGCCTACACTCCAGCTCTTGTATGTATAATTACATAAAATATATCTTTAACAAAATAGTTTTGGAGAATTACTAATGAAGCCTCTGGTCCTGGACTTTTGTGTTTTGGAGGCTTTCAAGTTACTATCTGAATTTTCTTATGGGGGCCTCCCTGGTGGCGCAAGGGGTTAAGCACAGCACTGTGAAGATACTGCAGCCTCTGTGTCACTAGTTTGCTGCATGGCGCAGCAGACCTCTCCTGTGTCACCTGCTGCTCCCCTCAGCAGTGTATTTCAGTCATTCTGTCTGTTCTGCTCCCTGCTTTGTCTCTGGTGAATGCTTTCACCCCCCACCCCTGCACCTCTGGCCTGTACCCCAGTTCTTGTATACATAAATAAATAAATCTTTAAAATTTTTCTTACTGTCCAGATTTTCTCTTTCTTCCAAATTCAGTATTGCATATTAAATATTTCAATTTGCCCATTTCTTCTGGATTGTTCAATTTGTGGCCAAGTAAGTGTTCATTATATTCATTTATGGTCCCTTATATTTCTGTAGTATCTGTTGCAAAATCACTATCATTTCTGATTTGTGTTTTCTCTCTCTTTTTTGTGAGACTAAAAGTCTATTGATTTTTATTAATCTTCAAAGAACCATGTATTGGTTTCATCGATGTTTTGAATTCTCTTCTTGATTTCTATTTCATTTATTTCCCTTCTACTTTTTATTACTTCCCGCCTTCTACTGTGTTCTTTTTCTTATTTCTTTTTTCTAGTTCCGTAGATATAACCTTAGATTTTTGGGTGATTCTTCTTGTCTCCTGAAATAGGCCTGTGTTTACTATTACCCTCCCTCTTAGTGCTGCCTTTGCGCATCCCTTTAGTTATGATGAGTTGTATCTTCATTTCATTTGTCTTCAGGTAATTTTTTATTTTCTCATAACCCAATTGTTTGGTAGCATGCAGTTCTCGTCCCCTAATGTGTAGTTCTCTCTCTCCTTCTTTTGGTTGTTTTCTAGTTTCATTCCATTCTTATCGGAAACGATGTTTGATAAGATTTCAATTTCAGCCTTCATGAATTTATGGAGACTTGTGTCTCAGCATGTGGTCTATCAGTGAGAAAGTTCTGTGAACACCTTGAATGAATGTGTATTCCATTGCTTTTGGATTTTATGTTCTGTAAATATTAAGTAAATCTCATCTAATTTCTCATTTAAGGTCGTTTCTTTGTTGATTTTCTTTTGGATGACTGTCCATTTAGAAAGTGAAGCATTAAGTTCCCATGTTATTATTGTATTGTTCTCAGTAGATATTTACACCTGTTAATATCTGCCCTATACACTTTGGTAAGTATATTGAAGTATATTGTATTCACACATACTAACAAGTGGTACATCTTCCTATGTGTTGATCCTTTTTTCATTTTCATCTTTTTTATATATAATACTCATCTTTGTTTCTGGTTAACTTTTTGGTCAGAAGTTTATTTTATCAGATACAAGTATAATTGTTGCTGTCTTTTTAAATTTTCCATTCACTTGGAGTACCATTGTCCATCCTTTCATTTTTAGTCTGTATTTGTCTATAGCTTTAGTGAGTCTCTTGTAATTGGCATATAGTTGAGTTTTGCTTTTTAATACAGCCATTTTATTGGTTAGTTTAGTCTGTTTACATTTAGAGCAATTGTTGATAGAGGAGGCTTCTTACTGCTTTTTTGTCTTTTGTCTTTTGTTTCTGCCTATTCATTTATTCCTTGTTCAATTTTTTGTGGACTTTCTTGTTTTTTCCATTTAGATAGAAGAGGTCTTTCCAATATTTCTTGTAAGGTATATCTAGAAGTGGTGTGAACTCCTTCAACTTTTGTTTTGTCTCAGAAAAACTTAATTCCTCATATTAGAAAGAGGGTTTAGCAGGACATCTTATTGGATGGTAGGTTTACCTTAAATATTTTGAATATGTCATTCCATTCTCTCTGACCTGGAAAATTTATGCTGAAAATTCTGATAATAACCTGAACGCAGGGATTTTTTTTTTAAAAGATTTATTTATTTATATAAGCACTGGTACAGTCAGAAGCATGGGAGGGTGAGAAAATTCACCAGAGCCGGAGCGGGGAACAGAACTGACGAAATACACTGCTGAGGGGGGACGCAGCGGGGCTCTGCAGGAGAGGTCTGTCGCACCATGTGGGACCCTTGCCAGGGGGATCGAACCAGCACTTTAGAGGTTGCGGGAAGTTTCGCAGCCCAGCGCTCAACCGCTGTGCCACCAGGGGAGGCCCAGAAGGCAGAGATTTATAATCACTTTTCCTCCCCCTAGGCACCTTTCTTTCTTATTTATTTATTTATTTGTTTGTTTGTTTGTTTATTTAAAGATTTATCTATTTGTGCATATAAGAGCTGGGGTACAGTCCAGAGGTGCAGGGGTGGGGGGTGGGGGTAGGGTGAAAGTATTTACCGGAGACAGAGCGGGCACCAGAAAGGCAGATGGACTGACGTACACTGCTGAGGGAGCAGCTGGAGAGACAGGAGAGGTCTGCTCCGCTATGTGGGTAGCTGCCTGGCCTGCCGGGGATCAAACTTGTGCTGCAGAAGCTGCGAATAACTTCATAGGTTGTGGCTTAACCCCTTGCGCCACCAGAGAGGCCCTCATACTTATTTTTTATCTTGGCTTTTTCATAGTTTTATGTCTTGGTGTTAGTCTCTGCATAACTAAGTGTTCTGTTTGTTTCATGAACATGTATATTTAGTTCTTTACCCTGGTTTGGAAAGTTTTCAGCTATTATTTTTTGAATAAATCTCTTTGTTCTCTCTCTTCACCTTCTGGGATACCCATTATCCTTATGCTGCCTTTTTTATGGAGGAATAGTTTTTGTAGAATTTCTTTACATTTTAATATTTTATTTCTCTTTCACCCACCGTCTGATCGATTTCCAGGTTTCTTCATGCTTGCTGATTCATTTCTTCTTTAGGTCTATTTTAGATCCACTGCTATCTGTAACAGTCTTGGTCTCATTCATTGAGTTCTTCACATCTTGAAACTGTTAGGGGGAAAAGGATGTCCCAAAGCTAATTCCATATAGGCTTTGTGGACTCCACCCCCACCCCAGGTCAAAGCCAAAGACACTGGGAACTCCAAATCCCATCACCACCAAAGGGAAGGTGGCTGGGACCTGAGGGTGGGGTTAAGCAGCCAGGTGGATATAAAAGGCAGACACGTGGGCTTTGGGGGCCCCCCATTTTTGGCTCTCCACCAGCTCGCAGCGTCTGGCCAGCTCTGAGAGTGACTTTGGGTTTCCAGGTCGTCGGATCGGGTTAGGACGCATTAAAGACTTTATTTCCCTATTTTCTCCCTGAGTTGTACATTTTCCTTATTTCCTTTCCTCTGTAAATAAACTTTTTATTACCTTTTTGTGTGTGTCTGTAGTAGAGTATTCATAAGTCTCTTTAAAGCGCGCGGGTGAGGGCCCACAGCCAGGAACCCGTTTAATATCGGGGGTTTGCTCTATAACAAAACCATTAGTTTTAAATTTAAAGTTTCAGTTTCTGCCTTCTGTTTCTTAATTTTATTCTTGAACTCATTGGTTTGCCTTTCTGGTTTTCTTTTGTCCTTTGAGTTACCTTTCTGAGTGTTAGTATATCACTGTGGGTTTCTTTATGATAACTTTTTTAATTCCTTATCTATTAGGAAGATATAATCTTCCATGCATTTGAGTTTGAATTCTGGAGAGTAGTCATATTTCCTTGTGGTCTCAAATGATCTGAAATTGTGTTTTTCTGCCTGCCACTGGGAATCTGGATTAGCAACTTAAATTTATTTTTTTACTTTTACAGCAGGGTGGTACTATAACTATTTCATTATTTATTTATCTGTTTATTTAAATTTTTTGCTTTGTTGTTTTGTTTTGTTCCTGCTGGCTGCTGTAGGTACTTTAGCTAATACATAGCACTTGCTATGTTATAAGGTAGGGAGGTTGTTGAATAGGCCTGGTGCTGGTTTAGAGGTGCTGGGGGCCTGGTTTGTATTTAGGCACTGCAGTTAACCCTCCTCTCTGGGCCCCAACTTTGAGACAGGGCAGTCCATCTCTTGTCCATGCACTTTCTTGTGCCAGTAAATATCCCAAGGCGGGGCCGGGGGCCGGGGATGGGTGTGTACTAGAGCACTTTCTTTATTGTCTTCCTTGTTGGAGTTTCGGCACACTGAGAGCACCCAGTATCCTCTTTGGGCTTTACCTGGACTGAGAGCATGTGCTTCACAGCAGCAGCTCTGCAGATTCCACCCCATAAATCTGCCCTCTCAATGTGTCTCTCTCCACTCACCTTCCATTACATTAGGGGTTGGATATCCTCAGTGCTCTTTCTGGTGCAGATCTCTGAGATGTAGGGGGTGTTTCAGCCTCACTACCAGGTGACAGATTCTTTTAGAGGTGTCCCATTTCAGGTTCATAGCTGTTCCTCTTGGGAGTGTAGTATGAAATATCCTTTTCCCACCATCTTGGTGATGTCTCCTAAACTTTAAAGTTTAATGTTTTAAAACTTTAATGTTTTAGTGCAATTCACCATTTTTTAAAGTATAAAAAAAACAGATCTTTAAAGTTGAAGTTAGGACTACATAAGAAATTCAGCACTCCTCATCCACATTTCTTTAGTTTTTCCACTTTTAAGGACCTATGAGCTTGGAGTAGTACCCATCTCCTGCTCTTCTTGCCCCCAACAATCAGGATAATCTCCTTAATCACATGTGCTGTCCTTATTACTATGCTTGGCCACATATTCACAGAAGCTTAAACATATTTGTGGTGTCATTGTTTTGCCTACCAGCTCATACATGGTGAATGAATGATGAAGTTTGGTGTTAATCTAATTAAAGTCATAGGAGGTGAGCAGGAATGCATGAAGGGAGGCATTGTATAAAAATATTATGGCTAAGGATTAAGCAAATGTATACAGAATAATATTCCCTGGTGGCACAGCACTATCAAAGTCTCAGCACTATCTAGCTATCACCAGCTACTGCAGCATGAGTTTGATCCCTAGTCAGGGAGTTACACACAAGGCACACCAGACCTCTCCTGTCTCACCCGCTGCTCCCCTCAGCAGTGTATTTCAGTAGATCTGTCTCTGGTGGTGTGGGCACCTCTGGCCTATACCCCAGTTCTTGTATGCATAAATAAATAAAAATAAATAAAAATCTTTAAAAAAATAGCCAGAGGAGAAAAACAAGTCACCTAGAAAAACAAGTCACCTAGTTTAAGTGCTTCTCTGTCTGAAATGACGGCTAGAAGACTGTGAAATCACATTCTGAACGGCTGAGGGAAAAATCAATGACAAACTAGGAACCAGGAGTTGGGAAATTTATTTTTCAAGTAGAAGAGTAAAAA